ATTCTATCCTATGTTATTGGCTGGTGGACCTGACAAATAATTCCAGCAGGAATAGAATCTACGACACGTTGGCAGGCAGCAGATCGCTGTCATTTAGTTACAATACAAATACCCTAATTCACAATCCTATATTGCTGTCCAAATTAAAGTTCATCAAACACAGTTGTTATTAAGGCGTTCGATCACAATAAACAAACCAACACATAACTGATTTGTAGAATAAAGATAGGATTAACATCCTTAAAATCCTTTAAAGCATAAATATTGTTAAAAATATCGCCTAATCAGCGTTATAGTCGGCCTCAAACCGCGTGGCCACCTCATGAGGTGTGCGTGGGAACCGCGATGCATACTTTACACCGTATAAACTAATAAAGCCAATAAAACATGGATTATATTAATAATAAAGATTATTATTTATATCTTAAACACTTATGATAGTGATCCGTAGGCGTTTAGTGATAATTTTCTTATATCTACGTCACACTATGACGCGCTGTCAATCCCCGTTTCAGGTTGATGTGTTTTTTTTTATGGCATAAGCCGGTAAACGAGCAGATGGATCAACTGATGGTAAGCAACCGGCGCCGCCCATGGACACCTGGAACACCAGAGGCGTTAAAAGTGCGTTACCGGCCTTTTGGGGATTAGAAGTTTGAGGATCGTTGGGGATTCAGGGATTGGGGAGATTGGGGAGGGGAGGGTAATTGGGCCTCCGGTAACCTCACTCACACGACGAAACACAACGCAAGCGTTGCTTCACGTCGGTTTTCTGTGAGGCCGTGGTATCACTCCGGTCGAGCCGGCCCATTCGTGCCGAAGCATGGCTCTCCCACACTTGAAAAACACTAAGCAATAGTAGTTAATATAATTTTAATTTTTTTAATTGACTTCAAAAAAGAAACGTTCTTAGTTTGACCTTGTATGTATGTACATACGTATTAATGTATGTCTGTACGTGATTTCTCGCGATCGGTTGAACTAATTTTGATGCGGTTTTCAGAAAAAATATTTATTTTAAATATAAGCCGGTAAACAAGCAGACGGATCACCTGATGGTAAGCAATCGGCGCCGTCCATGGACACCCGAAACACCAAGGCGTTACAAGTGCGTTACCGGCCTTTTGGGAATCTGAAGATTGTGGAGGATTCGGGGATTCGGGAGACTAGGGAGGGGGGTTAATTGGGCCTCTTGGGTATGTTAGTATAATTTTCAATATTTACAGTAAATATTCAAAATTATACTCTTCTTACTCTTACTCTTCTACTCTTCTTACTCTTCTCGTGGGTTTCCTAAAAGCTGACTAAGAGACTACACATTTGACAGATATCAGGCAGTAGCGTTCTTTGATAATCTAGAATATGAACTTGATAATCTATGCAAAACCCGCTTATGGAGAAGAAGTCCTCAATCCACCAGTATAGTGTCTCGGACTGTCGATGATTATGTATCTAGAATTACTTTTACCATATTGACTTCTAACCTATCAGTGGGTGTGTAAGCTATAAGTATGTATGACCAATAATAGTTATTTTTTTCCTTTTTAGTTTTTACTTTTCGTTAGTCATGCGTTTTTGATTTCGGATTTTTTAAACGCAGTTTTAAAAAGATGGCGCAGTTAAGATGGCGAAGTAAAACTCGTGCAACTGAAATTAATCTCTTAGATGATATTTTGTACATCATGAAAAATTTGCTCGTCTTAAAACACACACAAAGCACAGAACGCCTGAAAATACCTGCAATTTTAATATCCGAACCATTGCTTCGTAATTTTAGTTCAGAACTTAAATAATACGAAATATAAACCCTACCTGGAAATCTAATCCACACACATCCATTAGATATACTAATAGCACAAAAAAACTACATGACCTAAAAATGTTTAAATTAACATAACACTTGAACTGTAACATCCATTTTCACCAATTATGCTACAAACAATTAATTTATTAAATAGAGCATAAAAATAAAATATATCAACTTCAGAAAATATTTTTCACAGAGCAACCCACGCCGAATCGCCAATTCGCAACGGACGTCAATTTAAAATCTTATACATTAAGTCTCTGTCTTGTATATGAGATATTATGTAACAATTTATAAAGATATCTGTTAAATGATATGATATACAGAAATAGATAATTCATTCTAATGAAACATTTTGATATCTTGAACATCGCAGATTGCCTTGCAAAAATACACACATTCAACGACATAAACAACTCAGTGACACCTGGCTACTATAGACTTACACATAGAACATACACACATTGACACGAAGGACATCTGTCATTTTCCTAAGTCTGCTAAAATGGTATCCATTACACACGCACACATAAATACCCCACGGACATTTTGGTGCTTCATTTTGGTCAATTCTAAGTGACATTATGTTTGCCTTTTTTCAATAATGTAAAATGTAGATACATTTAGGTTTTGCATCGATCTTAGAAATAGAAAAGGTTTTTATAAGGTCCTTCTACTTTCAGTTAACAATAACAAACCAAGATGAAACCTAAGCGTCTGAATATATCCACTATCTATGAGGTAATCGTTATCATAAAATGACTGTGGCATACAAACTCATCACACAAATATTTAATCTTAGATCTTTATCGCTATATTCATTCAAAGTCGCCAATCTTGTATCTCACTAGCTTCCATACTTGAATGGAATACTTTGTACACACGGCCACACATCAATCTATACAAAACCAATTTATCCTGGTGTCGCGTCGCATCATCTTTCCGCACATTTAACGTTCAGTTTATACTGGTTATGTAAAGCTCAATGTGTAGCCGTGTGTACAAGGCCTTTATCCAATACTTCTGACAGTACATTAAGGTTTTAGTACGTAGGCGCCATCTAGGTGGAGAGACGATTTCCGCAGAGTGGCTGGTAGTGATTGGATGCGTAGAGCTGAAGATCGAGCTCAGTGGCGTGCCTTTGGAGAGTCCTAGGTCCAGCAGTACACGAGAACAGGCTGTAGATGATGAAAATTTTCGTTTACACTAACAATACTAACAAGAAAGATGTAAAGTGTACAGTGTGTGTACAGTTCATTAACTGTATGAACTAAATGTATTTTTTATTTTATTCACCGTATTTATTTTATTTTTAACCAGTTCCGAAAACAAATAATTCTTACATGTTAATCGAATAAGTAAAAAGAAAAAGGATGGATTGACATTGTTATTAAAAAAATGTGTCACAACTTATGTTAAGATCATAAATTGATACTCCGTTGACCAACGTGCTAAAACCCTTTTTGTTTATGCAGTGCTAGTAGTCAAATGTTAGTCCAGGGTATATTCCGATCCAATGATGATGATTGAAAGCAACAAGCGAAAGCTATACACACATTATAATTACTCTAAAGTGATACCCATGATGTCACACTTACGCCCGAATATAAAGAAAAGTCAGTCTATGGAACTGACATACGAAAAGAGTTTAATAATGTTTAATGTCATAAATTGACTTTTCTTTTATCGACTACCGTACCGATTTTGGCTTCTACACCAAACTACGGAACCACAAATAATAATATCTTTTTGCATACAGAGTTCTTTTCTTTTGTAATATCATCCTGACTCTTCAGTTTTTCTATTTTATTTTGCATAATATGTGCGATAAAGATGAACGTTTTATCTATTACTCATACACACTTCAAATATTATGCCGTAACATAATTTTTGGTAAAGGTTTTTTTTTTAATCTTACATGTCTTATTCTCCACGGACTCTTGTCCGTGCCCTTGTCATTCCATTACAGTTTCTTTTAATTTACAGTCAAAATTAATTGTTACAAAAATCTTACGTGCTACATTAACCACATTTTTTTTTCACAAAGAAGGTTGTGTCTAAATCTAATATCTATATATACACAATACATGTTTTATTACATTTACATTAACCTTACTGGATCGGCCCACACGCGCGATGAGCGAGCCGACCTGCTCCAGCAGAAGGCGCCCGTTCACGAGCATGACGTGAGGGCCAGCAATCGGTCCGATCAACCATTTCGTAGGGAACGGAGCGACCCAGTCCACAGCGCCACCGACTGTAGAACATTTAAGAATGCATGACGTCTGCTCACGCAGCAGTAAGCCGATTCCAGTAGTGCCAATGTATTTTGTCAGTCTTATTGATAAAATTTACATTACGTTACATTATATTTACTACATTTTAACATTATCGTTGACACACAAATATAGAGGTATATTAATGTCACGCTTGCATCACAATTCAAGCTTACAGCGAGCCCTCCCCACCCAAAAGAGCGCCCACTATCGCCATGTCCCTGTTGGTAAAGGTTAGACCGAGGAAGTCAAGACATTATTTTTAAACCATTACCACTTTTTTTCAAGGGGGGAAAATCATCGAATGACTTCTTCCGCTTGGGTGAAGCGGGAGGGAGTGTCAGACTCTTACTGACTAAAAACCAACCCGTTCCTTTTCCTGCACTTCGAGCCGAAGCCCCAGTAACCCGGAACACCAGGGGTGTTACAAGTGCGTTACCGCCCTTTTGGGGATTAGGAATTTGATGATTGGAGGGAATTCATTGGGAGATTGGGGAGTAGGGGTGCATATATGCAACAATTAGTGGATTGCGTAAGTAGATGAGGAATTGTGCTGCGTAGCATACAAACAACCAGCCATTACTCAACTCGATTTTATACTACACCAAACAGACATACAGACTTTTTTAATACTAGTACTAACATTATAAAGCAAAAGATTAAATAGTGATTTTCATAAAAAAAACAATCAGATATCACGGCACGGCTACCCCGTGTGATTCACGTGTAACTCGCAACATTGTACTACACCATTAATTATCTAACTTTATGTATATTTTTATCAATACGAGTCATCGAAACATGATCAACAGAACAAATTTTCGGTATATATATTCGCTGCTTGTCATTAGTCGGTATATAGCAGCATTCAGCTTGTGTATTGCAATAGCTCAGTGGCTATCAGAGACTATCACATCATGAACTCCGCAATACTCAGTGTGCTGCTTATATCTCTCAGTGGACTCTGCTACAGTGCTGACTCTGTGGTAGATGACACTGAGCTTCTACTGACCTTCCTTGTGAGTACCAGTGGAACTTCTTTAAAATACGAATTATTATAGAAGTTTTTATTCTAATCTATTAACAATAATATAATACAGGCAAATACCATAAAATTAACAAAAAAATGTAATACAAGTGACAATTTATTAATCGAGTGAATAGGGATCGAGAGGTGAATAGAGACAGAAGGGGGGTGAATCGATATTGGGAAATTTTTCATAGTATCAATTCACCCCTCTTCTGTCCCTATTTACATCTCGATCCCTATTCACCCCATTCTGCCGTACCAAATAAGACAGTTCTAAAAATTAATAATTAAACTAAAATTCATCGCTGTGTATCCCTTCGGTGAATAAATTAAAAAAAAAATTCTAATTAAGTTTTAGGATGAAAAATTCTGATTAAGGTGTCATTATAATCATGAAATGTATATTAAAAAATAGAGCTGACATTAAATCAAACTTAAGGTCAATCCCAAAGTAGTTGGAAACAAGGGAAACAGAAAGTAGAAGGTCCCTTGAGCAAAAAACATAGACCATTTTTGTACTATTTTCAATATTTTTCCAGATCCACAGACACGGCGACAGGACTCCAATCGAATCATCTCTCGCCCTCTCCAACCATGCCGACGAACTCATTGAAGCCTCAGCTAAATACGGATATGGACAGCTGACTGATGTAAGTACCACTACAAATCCTACTAATCTTCTACTAAATAAAAATAAGTCGGGTTTTCCTTCCTGACGCTATAACTCCAGAACGCACGAACCGATGTCCACGGCTTTGCATTCGTTGAAAGGTCTCGGGCTCCGTGAAGTATATAGTAAAGAAAATTCAGGAAAATAATTTTACCGATATGTTACATAAACCGAAGCCATCTGGTGGCGAAACGGAGTTCACCGGGTTTGCTAGTCCTTATTATATTAATTAACTATGCTTAATATTTGTTAATCCTTCGCGTTAAAAAGGCTAAAGGGATCGGGATGTGGGATAGGGGTAGTTTATGGTTTCGAATAACACATGGGCTCCTTTTTATTCCACGGAACGCGGGTGAAACCGCTGGCAGAAGCTATATAAGAAAAGTCTTTAATTAATTTAGCTCCAAGGGCCACCACACAATTTAACTGGTGTAAAGAAGGTACTACAGGTTTCTTTCGGAAATTACAAGGAAGGATGTTATACCAAGGACAACTTCGTACGCGCAATTTCATTTTCTCCCGTCCCCGTAGGATTTTCAGGATTTTATGTCTTAAGAACCTTTTCCTAATAATAACAAATACAACAAAAAAATTAATTAGTGAAATCAGTCCAGACATTCACGCATGATGCCGTGACCAAGACGTTTTATCCAAAGTCTTCAATTAAATACTAACGATATCAGGACTTATAAAACAAGTAATCCTGCAATCGTTTTTGCTTTACTGCAAAACTCTAAGAAAGCAGCATTTAAAGCACTCACTATTTTAAAGGTCAACATGACTTGTTTATATTTAACTTCTAATTTCCTGTTTTAGGTCGGCAAACGCCGTGCCTACCAGCTAGGTCAGTTCATCAGACGACGCTATGACGAGTTCCTGTCCCCGACCTTCAATAGGTCAGAGATCTACATCCGCTCCACAGACTCCACCAGGGCTAAGATGACGGTGCTGACTGCTCTGGCTGCCGTATACCCTGCCCCTGCGGATAACTGGAGCAATAAAATCAACTGGACACCGATCCCCTACACCACCGTGCCTGCTAAATACGACTTCGTAAGTGTATGGAAAATAGTGACTGCGCAGTGCAGATTTTCCGTCTTTCGTTTGGATATGCTAGATAATTTGTTTATTTTGCAAAAGGTCTCTTACAATTTTGAACGAAGAAGCAATCTCTTGTCTTTTTCTTCTTCTTCTTTCATCATTGACATGAAGTCGTGCCGTTTAAGTTTTTTTGTTTAGATTAAGATATAACTTTTTCTATTTCCAGAACCTCGCTACAGTGAATTGCCCAGAATTACTCACAAATGTATATTCAGCTTACACTATCACCGCCTCATCTATTCCCGCTTTGGCACCATACCAAGATGTTCTGGACCAGTGGTCTGAAATATTGGGCCTTAACCTCACACAGTACCCCATATACGCCTACACTTTGAACGATGTCTATACCGCCCAGGTAAATATAATTAAACATACCACAGGTGAACTTTTTGTCCAATTATTTGGACTAACTATTTTAAAAACAACCGCAGAACTTTCTTGTTGACTCAATGTTTCTTGGTCTGATATTTGATGATCTCAAACCTTTTCCAGATGAGCTTGGGTATTCCTCTGGACGATGACATCGCAGCAATTTACCCTGAGATCGAAACAATTGCTGGCATCGCCCTGGACGCCATGTACAACTCATACACTTCTAGAGCTTTATCTGCTGGTGAGTGGTAGTAAACATAGGCTTATAAATATGAATCCTGTTAGCTAATTTTATCCGTATCAGTAAACACTGCCTCAAATTGTTTCAATCCAATTCTACGTCGGCATTACGAAATTGAATCCAAAAATCTCACTGATCTGATATTTCTCACCAGGGCCACTTCTGAACCAGTTCTTCAGCGTAGCCGACCAGGTCATTGCTGGAGAAGACGTGCAAAGAGTTCAGATATACTCCGCTCATGACCTGAACGTGTTCGCTTTCGAAGGCGTCACCAGAGTTGCAGTAAAGCAAGGAGTTCCTAAATATGCTTCTGCTTATGCCTTGGAGTTAAGAAAAGTTAAGGACACTGGAGACTACATTGTCGTGGTAAGTTGAAAATAATTGCTAAATGACCATATTAATAATAACCCTTTCATGCCCGTTTCGGCTGTGGCGACCGTTTCTTGACTACTGGCGTCTATTATGGGCTTTAATGTGGCTGGTAAATCCTTTTTGTTTATAAATATTCTTCTGCGGAAAGGACACGTGACTATGTTAAAGAGGTATACATTATAACAATTTTAACTATGATCAGATATTTTCCATGTCCTGTTAGGCATTTTAAAGTGACCAGAAATGGTCTGGTACTATTGGAGAGACCTATCTTCCATTAGATTGAATCTTTAGCTCTTCAAAACTAGCCGACTTGAGCCTACAAGCATATTTTTTCTCTATTTCAGCCAGTGTACCTGAATACTCCCAGTGAGGACGTGATCACATACCTCGAGATCGAGGAATGCGGCCAGAGATGTGCCTACGAGAGCTTCCGCAGTGTCACCTCCATCTACAATTTGGAGGAGAGCGTGTGGAGGACCGAGTGTGGCTTCTCTCCTGACATGGAAATTGACACCTCTTCAGTTGATTAAATTTGACAAACCATGACATAATGATTTAATGGCTATTGTAAAAACGAAATAAATATACACAGTTTTTTTATATTTTTTTCTTTTTCTTTTATTGTCACCAGTTAAATTGCATGTGATTTTTACATACATATTATATCTACATGTGATAAAATATTATAAGGTAAACCAACATGATGTCTTTTAATCTATCGAAGTATCGAAATCAAAATCGCAATGAACAGTTTACACAGATAAATGATATATTTAAAGACTAGTCAATTGAGTAAATAGAAAATGAATTAAGGGAACAATTGACACCAACATTTAACAGATTATATCAAAAATTCAAAACTTACGTCGAGTCACACATTTGTCTAGAGGGCAGTAGTGTCAGTTTGTGTCTTAAAATGCAATCACTCAATTATCAGCCACGGAAGAATTTCATATTTAAATAAATAGATAAAGATAGACTTCCTCGTTGGCCGAGTGGTCGCCAGTGCCACTGCCCGGGCAAGGAGTCTCGGGTTCGATTCCTGGGTCGGGTAAAGTAATACTGGGTTTTTAAAAAAAACTCAGTAGTAGCACGACGACGTCTAGAATTGTGCCCGGTATATGGCAAAAGGCTGACCCCCTATTACATGGGACTCGTAACATTAATAGTGAAAATTGTACAGTGGCATTAAACACACCTTTGCCTACCCCTTCGGGGATAAAATGGCGTGATGTTATGAAATAAAGATAGACACTAGATTCTTCTAGATTTTTCATCTAGATCTTTATTTCATAATTTTTTTTCTGGTTTATTCTGGTAGAAACCACGAAAACCGTGGCATTCCTATATATGTTTACAATTTCTTCCCCGCACCTATGGGAATTTCGGGAAATTATCTTTATTGTTTCCTTACACTCCTCAAGGAACATGTTAAGACATGTCGAATTTATGTTTCCTCCACCCAGTATTTTCCACTGTGAGTCATGTGTTAGTATTGTTGGTCACTCAATAATGCAAGGACGTAAAGGTTATAATACTTCATTTTTGAAAATAGTAGACATCCCATAACACAAATCACATCTTATATTCTCCGAAAGGACCCACCTATCCTTTACTTGTAACACAAAATTTTCACCATTCATTTTATTAAATTGCACTTTATCTTCACTGTCTCAATAGCGGAGTGATAACAAAATAATGATTTACGATAATATAACAAACTGAACGATAGAGGCCTGGGATGGCATGGTCAAGGATTTTGCCATCGAAGCAGCCGTGACATGCCAAATCAAAGCCTTCTCGACCTCGTTTTCGCTTCTCGACCCCAGCCGCCTCATCCTCATCCTCACGAGCATACCTCAAAGAGCCATCAGAATCATGTCAGTCGCGGAGAACCTATCGGATTACCGGGGCTCCGGCTCGAAGCGCAGGAGAAGGAACGGGGTGGTTTTTAGTCAGTAAGACTCTGACACTCCCTCCCGCCTCACCCAGGCGGGAGCAGTCATTCAATGATTGTACCCCAACTTCTAACCTATCAGTGGGTGTGTAAGCTATATGTAAGTACGTATAACCAATAAGAGTTATTTTTTGCTTATTTGTTTTTACTTGTTAAAGTTCTCATCAATACAAATTAATTAAACCCAAACACAAGATAGCTACTGTTAAGCGTTGAGGAGTTCCCTCAACTATCGTACTACTTCATCATCAGACCCTTATTGGTCTTAATCACATACCACCTAGGTAAAAAGTCCTCATCAATACAAATTAATCAAACTTAAACACAAGATAGCTACTGGTAACCGTTGAGGAGTTCCCTCAACTATGGTAATACTTCATCATCAGACCCTTATTGGCAATCACATACCACCTAGGTATAAAGTCCTCATCAAAACAAATTAATCAAACCCAAACACAATGTAGCTACTGTTAACCGTTGAGGAGTTCCCTCGACTGCCTATCGGCTCCATCATCAGATCAGCTCCAGACTTTTATCATTGTAGTGGTTTTAAAATCCCTAACGAAAAAATTAACAAATGCACTAGTCTATAATTTTTAAAAATTCCCCTCGGTTTCCATGGGATTCCATCATCAGATCCTGACTTCATGACAATGGACCAAATGACAAATCTACCCTGTCAAATAAAAAAAGAATTTTTGAAATCGGTCCAGGCGTCTTTGAGTTATCGAGTAACAAACATAAAAAAATACAGTGGATTTTTTTTAAACGTTGCTCCACACAAGTATTATCTCCTGTGTAGTGGGTGCGTTTACAAACACATGACATCCACACCCGAAACAACAATTTGTGGATCACACAAAGTGTTGCTCCTTGCGGGGATCGAACCCGCGACACGTTGCACGGCAGCCGGTTGCCCAGCCATCGCACGAACCGTGCAGTCGAATTGAGAACCTCCTCCATTTTTTTGAAGTCGGTTGAAAAGAGGAAGGATTATAAAAAGATTAACGATGGAGTTTCTTGCTTGTAAAAAAACCGTAAAAACAAAAGGAAATTGATACAATTTGATTTAAATATTATTTCCATTGACTGCCGTGTCGGCCGAGGGGTCGCAAGTGGGACTGCCGGGCAAGGTCTTAGATTCGATTTCCGGATCAGGCAAAGTGTTACTGGGTTTTTAAGTAAAATCTCAGATGTAGCATGGAGTTTGAAATCGTGTCCGGTATATGGCAATAGCTTCACCCCATATTACACGGGACTCATAATATAAAATCTTGAGAAGTGGATGTTACATTGTATAATACAATGGCATTAAGTGCCGTAATCGCCTCTGCCTGCCCCTTCGGGGTTATGTTAAAAATATCTTTACAAAAGTGTGGGAGTGCCATACTTCGACACGAATAGGCCGGCTCGACCGGAGTGATACCACGGCCTCACAGAAAACCGACGTGAAGCAACGCTTGCGTTGTGTTTCGTCGTGTGAGTGAGGTTACCGGAGACTCAATTACCCTCCCCTTCCCCAATCTCCCCAATCCCTGAATCCCCAACGATCCTCAAACTCCTATTCCCCAAAAGGCCGGTAACGCACTTTAACGCCTCTGGTGTTCCAGGTGTCCATGGACGACGCCGATTGCTTACCATCAGGTGATCCGTCTGCTCGTTTACCAGCTTATGCCATAAAAAAAAAACAAAACAGTAGGGTTTCATTAAAAAAAAAACAAAGAATTTATAAAAATGCAGTAAAAATTTATTAGAAAACGGATGGTATAAAATGTTTTTATTATTTCAGTCTTTTAGCGAAAGTCATCAAGTACCATTATGTTTAGTCGACTGATGAGGTATCAAAGACCATATCATCGGAGAAGCCGCAGGCAGTTCTCCAGTCATCCTCATCCATGACGATGTCAGAAGTGACGCTTCGGAAGCTCTCGTACGCACATCTCTGGCCGCACTCCTCGATCTCGAGGTACGTGATCACATCTTCACTGGGAGTACGCAGGTACGTCGGCTGAAAAAGACGATACAGTTATTAAGTAAATATTTGTCTAACCTTCTAAACAGTTGGGTTACTTAACAAAATGCGTATAGTATTAGCGACGAATAAAAAGGAGCAATTATACGCGTCATTACTTCTAGAGCGCATTGTAAACATCTGTGTCAGTCAGTCAAATGTCCAAAATATCTGACATCAGGTTCCATTAAGAATGGAGTGTCAGACTCAGTAAGCTTCTAAGCTCCTGATCTTTCTGTTCCTCGCCCATTCTGGGCAAAAAGGTTCAGTTTATGTGACTGCTATGTAGAAGTGAAGCGAAGGTAAGAACTATGTAAATCTAAACTGTATCTCATTTTATTCCACTTACCACTACGACATAATCCCCAGTCTCCACAACTTTCCTCAGTTCCAAAGCATATGCTGACGCGTATTTTGGAACTCCTTGAGTGTTGACCACTTTGGTAGCTGCCTCGAAGGCGAACACGTTCACATCATGAGCGGAGTATATGTGAACTTTCTGCACGTCTTCTCCAGCAATAAGCTGGTCGGCGACAGTGAAGAACTGGTTCAGGAGTACACCTGTTAAGGAATAGCCGATGATTAAAGGGACTTTTGACTTTTAACTATTTTTTTTCAATAAATATGTACTAAGTTCAATGTAGGAACTAACCTCCAGACAGAGCTCTCACTTCTTCAGGGTCGTACATTGCTTTGATAGCTATACCGGCAATTTTCTCTATGTCAGGGTAGATAGCTGCGATGTCGTCATCAAGAGGAATTCCTAAACTCATCTGTGAAAAGAAGGCGACACATATACATATTATGCTGATATTTTTAAAGGGTTTTACCAACTACTATTTGCATCGTCGTTTTGGAACTTTAGGCGAATTGCTAAGGACATGTTTTAAGGATCGTAAATAGGTAATAGTTGTACAATGGGTGGCCTTATCGCTTCCAGTAATCTCTTGTTGGCAACCTTAAAAAGTTACCTTATCAAATACTTTTTTAATCTCAGTTGTGACGTCATCAAGTAAATATTTGACTACAACAACACTTGAACTTTATTGATCACCTATAAGCGGAAACGCCATGTCATTCCAAATGTATATGATGCCATAATAAAAGTAATTACCTGGCTGACGTACAAGTCGTTCAAAGAGTAAGCAAGCATTAAGGGTTCAGTTGAAATATTGTATCCTACTATACTGGACCACTTGGCCAACACATCTGCGTACTGGTCCAATTCAGGTACTGTTGCTGGTGTACCAGATGCATAGAAAGCTGCTGTGAATTCCGGACAGTTTAATGAAGCCAAGTTCTGGAACATTAATGATCAGGTTAATAGTGAAGTCTAATGATGTAAGAGCACTATCCATTGGATTATTGTTAGAATGAATTTTATACGAATATTGTTTAACGAGTTGATCTCTACAAATATCATTTATTAAACCAGTGATCAACTCACAAAGTCATATTTAGCAGGCACGGTGGTGTAGGGAACCGGTGTCCAGTTGATGTCTTCGCTCCAGTTATCCTCTGGTGCAGGGTAGATAGCAGACAGAGCAGTCAGCACTGTCATT